AGGTGATGTAAGGAACTAAGAATTGACTCTCCCACCACACGAGTGGAGCCCAGGGGAGATCCCTGGGGAAAAGTTCTCCAGTGTGGACCAGCAAGGACTGGGCATTGGAAGTGGGCTGATTTAAAATCTCCAGACCAATTGGCATTTAGCGAAGAGCCTGCAGCCCACCTAAGCCTAAACCCCGCCTCCAGGAACTCTGCCTGCAGGATTACCTCTCTCACTCCGGAAATTCAGAGGGTAGAGCATTACTCTCCAGAAGACCTCACCTAAAACTGCTGAGGAGAGAAACTGTGAATCTTTTGAACTCCACTAGAAAGAATTCTTTAACTTATCATCATTTTTTTTTCCCTTTTCTTTTTTCAAAAATTCTTTTTCACTGTTTAATTGTGTCCTTAATGTTACATGGACATTTATACACTCTCCTCTTTTTTCTTTTCTTCTCATCTCTAGCATTTTTGAAGCCAGTTATTTTACATGGATTAGTTTTTTAAGAACTAGGATGTTTGATTAGTATATTTTGGTTTTGTTTTGCATACTTTTATTTTTAATTTTTTTTTAAAAAATTTCTTTATATATATTTTTTTCTCCTACTTGTCTCCCTTGATTCTCTCTTTGCTTCTGCTAATAATCAATCTCTATTGTTCTTTCTTTCACTCTTCCATTAATCTTTTTCTTTTGTGTTTTTTCCTCCTCCCTCATAATCATCACATCCTATATCACTTCTGTTTTCTCCCTGTCCACCATTTGAAAATGTAAACCCTTTTGCAAACTTGCTGATTTTATTATAGGCAATAACTGATCATATATTTTCTGTTAATTGTGATAATTAACATTGTAGACATTGCAGTAGGAACTATTTGGTTTAATGTTGTAAGTTGTTTGCATTGGTTGTAATTATTTGTTTCCCTCTAAACAGTGAGGTACTGGAAACCTTCAGGGGCCCTGTAAGTACACAGGGTAGAAACTATACTGCCTCAGATCCATACTATTAAATGTGTAGACAGACTAACAACATGAAAAAAAAGGGAAAAAATCACCCCAACCATGTTACTGCAATAACAGAATCCACTGACACCACAGTAGAAGAAATGTCAGAGAAGGAGGTTAGAATGTACATGGTTAAACTGTCCTCCGAATTAAAGGATGATGTAAGAGAGCAAATACAGGTAGCAAAAGATCGCTTCATTAAAGAAATAGAGATTCTGAGAAAATAAAAACAACCAGACATCCTTGAAATGAAGGAAACAATAAATCAAATTAAAAATTCAATAGAAAGCATCACCAAAAGATTAGACCACTTGGAAGATAGAACCTCAGGCAGTGAAGACAAAATATATAATCTTTTTTTTTATAAGAGAGAGAAAGAGAGAGAGAAAATTTTAATATTTATTTTTTAGTTTTCGGCGGACACAACTTCTTTGTATGTGGTGCTGAGGATCGAACCCGGGCCGCACGGATGCCAGGCAAGCACGCTACCGCTTGAGCCACATCCCCAGCCCCAAAATATATAACCTTGAAAACAGAGTAGACCATGGAGAGAAGGTGTTAAGATACCATGAACAGAACTTCCAAGAATTATGGGATAACATGAAAAGACCAAATTTAAGATTTATCAGGCTAGGTGAAGGTGCAGCGATACAAACCAAAGGAATGCACAATCTTTTCAATTTCCCAAATCTAAAGAATGAAATGGAAAATCAACTACAAGAGGCTTACAGAACCCCAAATGTGCAAAATTACAACAGACCCACATCAAGGCACATCATAATGAAAATGCCTAGCATAAGAATAAGGATAGAATTTTAAAGGCTAAGAGAGAAAAATATTAGATTACATATAGAGGGAAACCAATACAGACCTCAGCTAATTTCTCAACCCAGACCCTCAAAACTAGGAAGTCCTGGAATAAAATATACCAAGCTCTGAAAGAAAATAGATGCCAAGTAAGAATCCTATATCCAGCAAAATTAAGCTTCAGATTTGAAGATGAAATAAAAACCTCTCATGATAAACAAAAATTAAAAGAATTCACAACCAGAAAGACTGCACTTCAGAATATTTTCAACAAAATATTCCATCAAGATGAAATGAACAACAACAACAAAAGTGAAAACCAGCGAAGGGGGGAATTACACTAAAGGAACAGTCGATCAAAGGCAAAACTAATTCCATTTAAAAACTAGAAATAAACCAAAATGACTGGGAACACAAATCATAATTTCAATAATAACCCTGAACATTAATGGCCTAAACTCATCAATCAATAGACATAGAGTGGCAGATTGGATTTAAAATCATGACCCAACAATATGCTGTCTCCAAGAGACTCACCTTATAGACAGAGACATCCACAGACTGAAAGTGAAAGGATAGGAAAATACATATCATGGATTGTTTAAACAGCAGCGGTTTCTATCCTCAGATCAGAAAAAGTGGTCTTCAAGCCAAAGTTAATCAGAAGGGACAAAGAAGGACATTTCATTCTACTTAAGGGCATATATATCAACAAGACATAATAATCATAAATATTTATTTCACAAACAATGGAGCATATATGTACATCAAATAAACCCTCCTCAACTTCAAGAATCAAATAGACCACAACACAGTCATGCTGGGTGACTTTTAACACACCTCTCTTACTACTGGAGAGATCTTCCAAACACAAATTAGATGAAGAAACTATAGAACTAAATAATACAGTCAATAATTTAGACCTAACAGACATAGATAGACTATTTCATCCATGAATGACTGAATAAACTTTCTTCTCCGCAGCACATGGATCCTTCTCTAATACAGACCATGTTACGTAAGCTATCACGTATGTTGTAATACAATTGTAATATGACCTTAATATATTTTTAACATCTGTAGGGTTATTTTGATAGCTTCCTTTCCATTGATATTAATTTTTGTGTTCTTTCTCTTTCTTGATTAGACTTGTTTGATTTTTATCAAATTTTAGATGTATCATATCTTCTCTATTTCATGTACTTCTTTTCCTACTCTTATTTTTTCCTTCCTACTACTTAATTTGAAAACAATCTGTTATTCTATCTTCTTTAAGGTACTTTCAGTTATACAGGTTCTTTACAGGTACTTTAAGTTAAAAATGTTATTGAGTATTATTTCATCCCAGAGATCCTGATATTTTAGGCTTTTATCATTTAGTGCAAAGCACTTTCTATTTACTTTTCTAGTGCTTTCTTCCATCACTTCAGAGATATTTATATGTGTGCCATTTAATTCTGAAATAGTTGAAGTTGGGGTGGGTTCTATGTATCTTAAGCTGATTGATTTCTAATGTAATAAATCATGTAAGGAACAGTCTGCATGATTTCAAATTTTAAAGAAAAGTAAAGACATGCTTTGTATATTGATTGTATTAGTTACATACTTGTTAAAACTGATCAGATTGCATACTTCAAAAATGCACATTTTATTGTACTTCCATTTTTCCTCAATAAAGCTATAAAAATAAATTTGCATGGTTCTTGTGTTACTCACCTTTCCATCACTATAATAAAATACCTGAAGACATTAACTTACAAAGAGAAAAGGTTTATTTGGCTCACAGTTTTAGAGATTCCAGTTCATGATTAATTGGCCCCATTGCTTTGGGCCTATGACAAAGCAGCATATCATGGCAAGAAAATGTGTCAGAGCAAAACTGCTCATCTCAGAGGGCAAATAAAGAACGAGGAAGGGACTGGGGTTCCACTAACCCTTTTGAGTTCACACCCCAATGTCCTAAAGGCCTTTCACTAGGCTCCTCCTGAAGGCTGTACCACTTCCAAACAGCACCACTCTAGGGAGTAAAGCTTTAACACATGGGCCTTTGGGAGATATCCAACATCCAAACAATAGCAGTCATGTGTCTATACAGGCTTCATACAGGTAGGCACAACAAACTCTTGTGTAACATTTGGAATAGTCTAGAAAAGTAGACGTTCCTACTTCTTGGTGCCTCATTCTAGAGCTATCTAACTCAGTGCTTCCTCTTTCTGGAGGCAACAGTCTTGAAAACCTGCTCATTCTGACCAGGGTGAGAGGAAAAGGGAAGGAAATATGGTTGGGTAAACCAAGTGGATAAGGAGGGGTCTGGAAGACAAGTCGTTCCTAACATAAGCATTTACCCTACAATTGAATCTAACTTTAATGGAAGCGGTGATGGATTTGTTCAAGCTGGATGACAAAAGGAGTCAGAGAAGGGTTGATATGTTCTCTTCCTTCTCAGTTTTTCTTCAAAGACAAGACAACCCTGTACTTTTTCTTCTATTGCTGTGGTTTGGAACGGAAATGTCCCCCAAAGGCCATGTGTTCAGGGCTTGGTCCCCAGTCTATGGCACAACTGGGAGATGGTGAAGCCTATAATAGGCTGGACCTATTTAGAGGGAGTTAGGTCACTGGAGACATGCCCTAGAAAGGGACTCTGGGACCCCAGTCCCTTCTCTCTCTCTACTTCTTGGGTCCAGGAGGTGAGCTGTTTCCTTTGCTAGGAAGATGAGTTTCCTTTGCTCCTACCATGATGCACCACCTTGCCACAGACCCCAAAGCAACAGGTCAACCAAATGTGGAGTGAAACCTATGAAACTGTGATCCAAAATAAACCTTCCTCTTTTTAGTTATGAGTATTTCAGGTGTTTGTTACAGCAGTGGAAAGCTGATTAACACATCTGTCATCTCTCAGAGCTGAGTCCTTCCACCCATCAGGAAATGGAGTTGTGGACAGGCACACGGAAAAATGCTGTGAGTTCTCCCATCTGGAATCACTCCTGTCCAATGACAGGATGAGTCCCAAGAGTCACGGGGCTAGTGTCCTGATCTTCAGTAAAAGCAGTACCTCATGGTGGAGTAGGGTGTACAGGTTTTCAGTCTGAACTTTGAAAAGCAACATATTCTCATGTATTCCATGTGTTGAGGGTGAACTCAGAGCAACAGAAGTTGGCCAAAACACCCTCTGCCTTCAAGATGACCTTCTTTTCTCTGACCAAAAGGCAACCTATGTGTGGAGGTGGATCTGAGAGAACCCTCTTTGTTCAAAATGGTCAACATCTCAGAGGGAGAACTGGCTCAAGGAGGTGGTCCACTGAAGCACATTATTCTCTGTAAGTTCATCTGGAAGCTTTGACTTTCTTCCGGATTCTTCCTTAATGCAGGCATAAAATTAGTTTGTACTTTGTGCTTAAAAGTCGTCTGTTTCAACGCTTCAAAACGTTCTGAAAATGATTGATCATATTCAAGTTCTCTGTATCTTTCACTTCTTTACACACAACCATAGAGGAAAAATGATGCACATAGGGATAATGTTACTATATTCCTATTTTTCACTACCAGCAGGGCATCAGATGATAAATCCATAGAATTCCTGCACAAGAAGTTGCAAGAACTTCAGTTGAGAGAATTTGTTTCTTCTGTGGAAATTTGTGTCTTCTGTGAGAATTTGTGTCTTCTGTAGAAAACTGTTTTTTAGGGTTAAGATAATGCTTTGTAAAGACGAAATATTCCTCCTGCTTCTGCAGTACACATCTCCTTGTCTTCTATTTTCTGGGAGTAGTGTTGACAGTTTTCATGAGTAGACAGCCATTAGCCAGCTACTATTCACCCAGCACATCAGGGTCAGCTAGTGGGAAGATGTCAGCTCTTTTCCCAATGAGGGTTCTCATCCAGTGGAATTTCCTGGTAATGAGGGAGGCCATACATAGCATGGAGTTTCTGTTTATGAGAGGAGAGTTCCTTAGCCATTTGTGTCTGAGTTTTAATACAATCATTCTTCATTTCTGGGCTTTCTGATTTCTAATTTGGTTGGCATATCCCAAGGGGTAAAAAATGGACTATTTCAGTTACATCCTTAGCTTGCTGTGGTTTCCAGAGCAGAGCTCAAATAGCTGAAGACATTTAGAATTCAAATTTAGAAGATGAAAAGTCTTCCTTATCACTGTAACCAGAAATTTAAGACTCATCGGACAAAATTTTGAAATTCAGAGACTTTATTATCCTAAATAGGTACCATCTTGGCTTCTAAGAAGTTTTTAGTGTACATAGATAGTGTCAGGGGAAACAGAGAAGAGTCCTGTTTTTCTTACACAGGCTAGTTAAATGATGATTAAACCTGGTTGTGTAAGCCAGCATGTCTCTAATAAGGTCAGCATTGAAAAGCAAGCATGTTGTAACTCAGTAGTTCAGACAAATACTGCTATGGTTTGAATGGATGCATCCTTCCAGAATGTACAGGTTCAAACTGAATCAACAGGGTGATAGTAATAAAAAGAAGAGATTTTAGGAGGTGATGAGCAACCTTATATGTGTACTAGAGGGAACTAGCTGGGCCCTTTCTGTCCTCTGCCATGTGAGGACACAATGTTCTTCCCTTCCAGAAGACACAACAACAAGATATCATCTTGGAAGCAGAGATGAAGCTTCACCTCCTGGAGCTTTGTTTATGAACTACTAGCCCCTGGAACTGTGAGATACAAATTTCTATTATTTACAAATTATCCATTCTGTGGTATTTTATTCTAGCAGCACAAAATAAATATATATTACTTAATATATATGCCCCCAAAGTTAAACTCTTTCTTCTAAACACAGAAAAAAAAAGGTTTGCTGTGTTTATCAGTCATAGATAGTGAGGACAGAAAAGTATATTCATTTCCTGTTGCTGCTATAACAAATTACAACAAACATACTGGCTTGAAACAACACAACTTTATTCTCTTGATGTCAGAAGTCTGGAATCTATTTTATTGGCCTAAAGTCTGGGATCTATTTCATTGGCCTAAAGTCAAGGTGTTGGCCTGCTGGTTTCTTTAGTAGGACCTTAGGGAGAATCTGTTTTCTTGATTTTCCAGCTGTGCATGGCCACCTGGATTCTTTAGCTGATCCCTTTTATCCATTTCCAAAGTGCCTCACTCCAGCCTCTGCTTCCATTGTCACATCTTCTCTGACCCTGCCTTCTAAGAACCCCGTGATTAAATCAAATACACATAGATAATCAGGATAATATTCAAATCTCAGGATCCTTAATCACATCTGCAAAGTCCCTCTTGCTGTATAAGGTAACAGTCACAGGTTCTGGGATAAGAACATGCATACATTTGGAGGAAGCAGGTGGGACAAGGCAGACTCCCCCAAATATTCCAAGACCTTGGAAACAGTGGCCAAAACAAGGATCTTCTCTGCCACTCATTTTCCCAGATCTGGAGTGCCATGTTGGGGTTTATATTATTTATTACACAATTAGATTGTAAATATTCATCTTGTAAAAATGGAATCATTTTTCATAAAGCTAATAGGTTCTGACTACCTTCCCCAATTCTGATTCTCTTATTTCTCCATCCCACCCAAAGGTCAACACTGTTCTTCACTTGATCTACATCAGATGTGTCTCTGTTTTTATTTGTTCCCATAGAAAGCATAGCTTTGTTTATGGTTTCCATAAATGTAAATGGTATTTTTATGGATATGATTCTATCACATGCTTTAATCATGCACCAATATCTTCATGATCTTTCCATGCCAATACATATAAGTGGAACTTATCCTTTACAACTTCTGAAAAATATTCTATGAAATGAGTATATATCATGGTATATTCATATTCCTGGACTCTATAACACACTACCAGAAATTCAGTGGCTTAAAACAATGGAAGTATTCTTACACAGAATCCAAAAATCAAAGCGTTGGCAGGACTGCATTCTCTCTGAAGGCTCTAGGAGACACCCTTACTTCTTCCAGCTTCTGCTGGCTGTCAGGATTCTTTGACTAATTGATGCATTACTCTAGTGTCAGTCTCCACCCTCACATGTCTGTGCCTCATGCATGTCTCTTTTATTTCCTTTCTCTTCCCTTCTAAGGATACAGGCCACGGATAAAAAGGACAAAAGGAGGAGAGGGTATATTTCTTCCAATAAAGAAATGTCTTTAAAAATTGCAGCCTCTTCTCACATCCCATTGGCTGAAATTTGGTCACATGGACACATTTAGCCTTAAGGAAAGCTGGGAAATGTAGTTCCTTGCTGGTTGTCTGACAATCCTATTACAACAAAAGAAATGAGGAACAGATGTGGAGATAACTGGCAGCCTCTGCCTCCATAAGTATTTCTCTTATTTAAATACCTAGAGCAGAATGGTTGGCCATGAGGACAGGCTCATTTTAATTGTGATACTGCCAGATTATCCTCTAATGTTGACATGTATATTTGCCTTCCCACCAGCAACATTGAGAATATCTTTTCCCTTTCCTCCACTTGAGCATTAATATAAAATGTTTAAATTTTTGTTATTACATTGGGTGAAAATTGCATCTTGCTTTTAAATATTTTCATTTCCATTATTCATAGTGAATATGAGCATTATTTAGTACATTTATTGGTCACATCTATTTTTTTCTTCTTTGATTTTCCGTTTTCTTTCTCTTGTTCATTTTTGCTACTATTTTTTTGTCTTTTTCCAGTTAATCAGGAGCTCTTTATAATATTTTTCATATTAATTCTTTCCTGTCATAACTGTTACAGTATTTTTCCCAGTTTGGCGTGTGTCTTTCCATTTTGTTTAGGGTATATTTTGTTAAATCAGAAGTTTTAAATATGCTCTACCTTAGTTATCTAAAACATGTTCATTTGAAAAGGCAAATGTTGTATAAGCTTTTTGCTAAATAAAGATATATATACAACTAAGATATGATTGCCTGGAGTCAGATCCCCTAGTCTAAGTAATGAGGACATAGAAAGCCAGCTTGCAAGTTATGACACCATTTCACAAATCTCAACTGCATCTGTTTCTTCCATGTTCACATGAGGCTCTTAGCAGTCAAATGAGTAACAGCAGAGCTTTCTGGTGGTCATATACATGCTCTGGCTCCTTAGAGGACAGGAACCTATTTAAGAGCAGAAGGTCACCTATATTTACCTTTTAGAGTATATTAGGGCTGCAAGGTGCTCACAGAGAGAGCCATTCATATGGGCAAAATATGCTGTACCCAAGGGATATAGAAGTATAATATAAAAGGTCCAGCTGTCAGAGCCTACATGAACTAAATTAGATGGAATAAAGATCATCTCTTAAGCAACCTCCCTGAAGACTCAGAGTCATTATCTCTGAATCAGGTTTGGAGAGACACCCCCACTTCAACCTCCACATTCCTTAACTAGAAAAGCACTTCAAGAGCTCCCTGGAAAGAAAAATATCCTTTTTAAGAAAGGGCAATTCAGATTACAGCTATCCTTCCAACAACTTCCTCCCTATCTCCACCTGTGTGGAAAAATAGGAAGAACGTTTTACTGCTCTCTCCAGAATTATAGAAAATATCTTCTTGATGAAAACAGTGAAACAGGCTCTGATCTAATGCTTCTCCCCATTAATGGAAATCTATGGACAGAACTACTCCTAGTTAAGGTGTACATTATTTGTATTGTTCATTCCTATTTCATTTTCTTTGATTTTCTGTTTTCTCTATGTTGCTCATTTTGTCTTGTTCTACTGGGCTGTCTTTTTCTGACTGAATTCTATTCCATTAGAAATTTCTGACTGAAATTCTATCCCAGTCCCTAAACCCATAGAGTAATGCCTCTGTGTCACCTACAGCTTGCTACAGGGAGTCAAGATGACTGAAATTCTATCCCAGTCCCTAAACCCATAGAGTAATGCCTCTGTGTCACCTACAGCTTGCTACAGGGAGTCAAGATGATAGATGAGGTACATATATGGTGACATTCAAGGGTCAACAGACAGAAAACTCAGGTTTCGTATCCACTCTGTTACTTACTAACCAGTGACTTTCCCCTAGAGGAGACATCCCATTTCATTCCATGAATGAGTATATTCCCATTTATATGTAAGGACCAAGAATATCTAGTGATATCAACTACTCTTCATAATTTCAGGTGTAAATTTGAGTATCCTATTACTAGACCTCTTCCCAGACTAGTAAATTCTATTTTTTCCTTTGTCCCTTCTTCCAAAGTTTCAGAATACAGAAATTTAAGGCAGGCAGCACTAAGCACAGATGGCTTCCCCATATCTTCCCCCATCTCCTGTTTTAACCCCCCACACTCTTTCTTGCTTGCATGGAGCTTGCTACTGTGAGTTGGTTCTTGGTGCAGTCTTCACCTTCACTGCACATAGTGATTCATCACATTCATCTCAATGGGGGATTGGTTATACTTTTCCATTTTTAGAGAAATTATCATAATGAGACAATTTCTTGACAAACTGTCTTTGGATGTTTGCTCCTTCCTATATCTTTACATGAGGCTAATTCCTCAATGTACGATGGTTGACAGCCAATAAAAATGGGCTGTGGGAATTCTTCAATTTGGAGAAATTGCTCAGTTATCAGGAGATCTCTGTACCTTACATGGATCACCTTGGCTCCCAGTGGTTTCCAAATATGCAATCAGCCTCTTACTATAAAGAACTGGGACTCTTCTGGAGAGTTTCTGTGGCTGAATGGACAAGGAGTGGATTACAAGTGTTGAAAATTAAAGCCCTTGGGAATATCCCTATAACAATGATCCAGAAGGATCCTTGTCCTTTGGGAGAGATAATGTGGAAGCATAAAAAAAGAAAATCTAAACCATGGTTTGTAAACCTTTCCTGTGAAGAATCAGTGAGTAAATATTTTAATTATTGTGGATCATCTGGTCTCCACCATAACTACTCAGTTCAGCAGTTTTAGGGTTCAAGCAGTCATTGTACAGATGATATGTAAATTAGTGGACAAGACTTTATTTATTTATTTATTTATTTTTTAAGACTTTATAACAAGAAAACATTATCACCCCTAAAACTTGAATCTCAGGAACTTTAATGTCATAAAATATAATTATTTTCTTGATATTTCAATTGTTTAAAAACATAAAGGCATTCTTGCTTGTGAATCACAAAAAAACTAACAGGCTGGGTGCAGCTGTAATTTTCTGACCCCAGTCTAAATGGTTTCCCAGGATCCCTAATGAGATCAGCCCTGGTTGCCTGCAGCAGTAATCTGCTCATTAGAGCCTTTGAATAGCTCTCTTCCCTTCCCTGGCTTATTCATCTTTCCTCTGGAATCCCCTTCCAAATAAACTTTGACCCTCTTTTGTTATTAGACTGGTAAATGGAATTTCCGGTTTCCCCTTCCCTCAATGTCATAGACCACAGGAGTTTAAAGCAGGGCAACTCTAGCAATATCCTATAGAATCAGTCCCTCCATCACAGTCGTCACCTTTCTCTTGCTCCATCTCCCTGGATCTGTCACATCTAGACAGCGTCCAGAGCTCTTGGCTTCACATTCACTATACTTTAGAGAACAAGATTATCCTTCTCTATCACCACAGTGCTTTTACTCTTTTTGGGAAGGAAGAGAGTTTACCCACAACTATTGTGCACCTGATAACCAGGAAGAGTGGCAGGTTGTGCCACGGGGTCAGGAAGAATTCAAATCTCAGCTGTCTCATTCATGACAAGGAAAATTTACC